CCACATCCCAGTCCTACCCCACAGATGCTAGAAAGACATAGTCTAGAGACTGGATCATGGAGCATTCCCAGCTACGGGTTCACAAAATATCTCTGCAGGTGTTTTAGAGCCTTCTGGAACCAAATCTTTGAGTCCTCCTGGCCTGGCATCGCCTTATCTCTGTGGTATCCTATTTAGTTTTTCACTGTCACCGTAGAACCCTTCAAGGCCAGTCATTGAGGAAAGGATTAGAATAGCAAGCCCAAAACATACAATGTAGCATATCCTATAAATTAGAGTAAAGCACATCTGTTTTCTAGCCCTAATGTCTAGCCTGACATTTCCATAGCACATTTTTTAATAGTTTGTAAGCACTCAAACTCAGCTAATTCTGTGAGTTAGGAGAGTGGTTATGTGCAGAGGGCTTTCCCCTTTACAACGATTCTGGTGTCTGTTGTCTCACGAAACCTTTAAAGCAGCTCTGGTTACTTGTGATCTGGGGCTGGAGCCTCTCTGGATCCCTAATCTGGTGCCCCTTCCACAGCACCACCGGTCTGCTGCTCCTTCCTGTCTCTTGCCCCATCAGAGACTCACTCCTCTTCCTTCATTGCACTGTTTTGTCTTCATGTCATTGTTTCAATGTTTCTAGGCTCTCAAAGCAAATGCAGAACAAGCAGTGGAAATCTCGACTTACGGTTTCTGAAGAACAATTTAAGAACAGCAGGTTATAGGGTTATAGGTGGCCTTGTCAACTCATTGTTTTGCTTTTGGAGAGCTAAGCCCTGTAAGTAGGAACCCTCCTCCCAGTTCATACTCTGTAAAAAAATCCATAGAGGGAGTATCTTGTAGCTGATGTCACTTGAAAGCAGTAAGAGTTTCTAGTGTTCTGTGCTAAGCATGGATTCTTGGACTTTTAAGATAATAGATAACCCTTCATTAAGCCCAGAGGCTGCCTATCAATTCCATTTTTTCTCAATGCCTTGGAGGGGTGAAGGGTGGGAATGGGGGAGGCTTGGGAAGCTGTGTGGACATATAATTGTAGTTGCATTAAATTACTTGATGTCTGGCTTTGCTTATTAAAGTTACTTTAACTCTTCAAAAGAAAGTGACTTTTTTTCAATGCCCAGCTTTGTGTGACTTGCATTTAGGTTATCCCAGGGCAACCTGAAATACCTTGTGATGTGTTGTGGTTTCATCACTTCAGAAGCCAGAGTATTGTTTTACTCACAGTCCAAACAATAGATTTTTTCCCCTTGGTTTATTCATTTGTCCAGCCCATGGAATTGCTAAGCAAATAAATATTAGTAAGATAAGGCATTTATCCTAGGAAATTTTTTTAAAGCCCTAAGTGTTCTCCATGTACTCTTACTAAGGACCTGTTAAGTGCAGAGGTTTAGCTGAGTGCTACAAGTCCCTGCCCTCGATTCAGTTCAGTGAGTTAAGTAGCAAGATGAACAATTATTGCCTCAACAAAAGTAAAGGCATGTATGTGTTGTGAAAATGGGAAGTACAAGCCCCTATAGACAATCTGAATAATCAGGGGAGACATCCTGGGAAAATCCTGGGTATTTGAAGGATGAGTAGAGTTTGTCAGGCCCAGAGAGTTAGGGAGTGTATTTCAGGCAGAGTAGACTATTGTGAAAGTCCATTAGGGGCATGGAAAAGAGACGGTGTCTTTGAGCAGTGACCTAAATTTCCCTGTATACTTTAGGTTTAACTAATGTGGATGGGCCCCTGCCCATTTATTAAAATTTTGTTCCTACCTTCCCCCTACCACCACCACTCAAAAGAGAAAAAGTAAAGGTAAATATAGTTTCCAGAAATAGAAGCTGGTGGAGTAAGTATAAGCTGCCTCCACCATAGCCCAAGGAGATTTCAAACTAATGTGGCTTCTAGAGTTAGAGAATTTGGGAATGCGATGGAACTCAGGGGTGTGGAGTTGAGCCACTGCCGACCTGAGCATGAGCTTCCCCATCATGAAAATCTGTCTGTTGGTGAAGCAGAAGGGCAAGGAAATGACCTCCATACTTGGGTAGGACAGAGATCACTTGCAGGGATTGACCCAAATAATACACTCAGCATAATTTAGGAACACTCTTAAGAAATTAAAACCTGATCCATGACCACTGAAACCATTGTATTTAGATAAAAGCAAATGTAACTGTGTTCAAAGGGCTCACATAAGTCCCAGGACTATCAGAACATCAAAAGAAAAAATCTTACTAAAGATGAGTATAAAATCCAAAAATTAAAGCCACTATAAGGTAAAGACAGAGTCAGTGAGTAGGACAACACATGAGAAGCTGGAAATTGTGGAATGATACAAAACAGGCCAGGAAAACATACTGGGAATGTTTGAGGATAGAGGGAAAATGAAGTAAACATGACTAGAAAGAACTTTGAGATAGAGATAATAACAGTTAATGATGTGGCCATTGAGATTAAGCTGGTAATAAGCAGTAGCACATTAAACACAGCTGTTAAGGGTGCATTGTAACCTTGAAGGTGGAGCTGAGGCAACTACAGTGACACAGAAAGGAAAATGAAGAATCCCTCAGTTTGAATGTAGAAGGGGGTCTGGAAGCAGCAGAACCAAGACCAGTGATGAAAGTTAAACCAAGTTGTTCAACATCTAAGTGCCTTCTGTGTACTAGAGTCAGAGCAGGGCAGAGGCTATCGTTTTTTAAAGATCCTATGGAAACCTTTTAGTGTGGTCTAATGGCTTGATCTGGGGATATCAGCAGAGATGAAAAGACAGACATTTAGGAGCTAGATTTAACAAGATGAGACTTTTTTAAAGTATGATAGGAAAAGATTGATTCTTTTAAAGTAGGAAGAAAGCTTCACAGTTTTATTGATGTAAATGCATTTATGGTGCATGTTAGGGACTAGAGATTGATGAGGAAAGCATAGCTCCTAACTGCAAGTAGTTTTACAGGAAAAAACAAAACAAAACAATGGCTGTGTGACAGGACAGATACTGTGATAAAGATGTTCCAGTACATCTGTGGGAGCACTTAACGTGGTTTCTAACCATGTCTAAGGGAAGGGGAATGGAGTCCAAGAAAACATTTCAGAAGACCTGAAGCTTGAGCTGTTCCTGGATAAGTAAAGTAACCAAACAATAGTCAGGAGGAACAGCATGTTCAAAAGCTAACAAGCCCTGGGCATCTGTGTGCTTCTAGTGCATACACTGTGTGGAATAGGGGCGAGCAAAGATGATAACAGAATACTGAGAGGTCTGTACAGGTGACCCTTGAACAAGCAATATTAGTACAGCACAGATCCATCTTTTTTGTATTCACGCATCCATCCAACCACAGAAGTGAGCCCATGAGTGCAGAAGGCCAACTAGAAGTTAAATGAGCCTTTTCAAATGCATCCCTGACTCCTGAGTTGTTAAAAGGTCAATTTCTTTCACTTAAAACAGAAGTGTGCAAGGATCTTAAAGTAGGGAGAACAGATTTGCCAAGGGTGCTCACTCTTGAGATACTGTGTATTTACAGTTACAGTAAAGACTTGGAGGTAATAAATTTGGAGGCAGTCGCTATAATCCAGTGGAGAAGGAGCTAAATTGTAAAGAATGGGCCCAAAGAAAGGAACACACTGCCCAGCAGTATGTAGAGTGGGGCGAATATTCCAGGCAGAAAGAATAGCCTTAAAAGCATGAAGACCTGAAAAGCACCCTATTACCAGGTTATTAGCAGTGCATCCATTCCTAGATGACACAAATGTAGGATACAGTATAGGACATGAGGCTTGAAAATTAAATTGAGAGCTGACTCGGGCACTTCATATGCCATGCCAAAAATTTCAGAACTGACTAACAGTATGAAATTATTTTTAAATGTTGAGTGATGTAGTCAGAACTATAATTTTAAAAGATGGTGGTTAACATTGGGTTCCCATCACTCGTGAGCTCCTCCTAGATAATACATTTCTGCCTCACAGTAACTGTTAGAGGGCTACCATTGTTAGCTTCCTCCTGTAAGTGGGAGACAGCCATCATAAGGAGAATAAAAACCTGCCCAGTGTCCCACAGAGTAGAACTAGGACTGACCTCTAAGTGGTCTGACCTCTTAACTTTAGACACCTTGGGTGTTTCTTAGCCAGAATGCACATCAGAACCACATGTAGCATTCCTCACTTGACTGAATCAGAATATCCAGAAGGATGTGTGACACTTTTAGACAAGCTTCACAGGTAATTCTGCTGTCCTTTGCCTACATTTGAGTACTGCAGGAATCCCAGTTAGGAAGTTAAAGGCAAGGGATGAAGGCTCCAACTAAAGTGTGTATGGGAAAGAAGAGGGGAAACATTGAAAAACTTGAGAGAGAATTGGTTTAATGAGCAGTAAGCATGGGGAAGAATCCAAGATGAATCTCAGGATTACAAAACTGAGCATAAGTGGTATATGACCGAGAGAGGATTCCAGGATAAAGGGTGGGTTTGGAAGTAAGTTTTGAACATTTAAATTTGAGGATCTTATAGATCTTTCAATTACGGAAGTCTCTAATTGAGATAACTATATGCCAGCCACTGTGACTATTTACTGTTAGCTCACACAATCTGAGTCCACATTTTGCTAAAGAAATTAATAATGTATGTGTTTCAGTTCAAATGAACTAAACAAATTTTCCCAATCTACTTTAGCCCTGTTGTATCTCAGAATATATATCCTAATCTATAAATTGTGTATGTGTATAAAACTGCACAGTTACAAGGTAACCTCATGTTTTAGCAGATGATTGAGTCCTCCTAGCCATTTTCCTTTCATGTTAATGGTTTCTTGAAGTCGAAAATCCAGTATTTTTCTATGGGTTATGAACCTTATCTCAGTAGCGAGACTATACCTTCAGTGACATAACATGTTATCCCAACCAGATGTACTTTAAATACATGGTTACAGGGCTTTCATAGTTTGAGGGAACATGTATACAAAGCCATCGCTGAACTCAGAACTGCGGTCCCCTGTACAAGTTCATGCTCACACTGCTGTTTGTCTCTGCTTTCTACCCCAGGTCCCTTGGGAGATACTCCTCGAGGTGCCCAGGCTAAGATTGGTGGGGTAACAACAGTGCATTCTAGATGGTGTGAGACCACCCCAGAGCCCAAAAATGGCTACAGCCCTGGAACTGGAAGACCAGGATCTTTGGGAAGAAGAAGGAATTCTAATGGTGAAACTGGAAGATGATTTCTCCTGCAGGCCAGAGTCTGTCTTGCAGAGGGATGACCCTGTGCTTGAGACCTCCCACCAGAACTTCCGACGCTTCCGCTACCAGGAAGCTGCAAGCCCTCGAGAAGCTCTCATTCGACTCCGAGAACTTTGTCATCAGTGGCTGAGACCAGAGAGACGGACAAAGGAGCAGATTCTAGAGCTGCTTGTGCTGGAGCAATTCCTCACTGTCCTGCCTGGAGAACTGCAGAGCTGGGTGCGGGGCCAACGGCCAGAAAGTGGCGAGGAGGCAGTGACGCTGGTGGAGGGTTTGCAGAAACAACCCAGGAGACCAAGGCGGTGGGTGAGGAGGGGGAGTCCTGATCTGTGTGATGTGGAGGGGGACTATTTACTGAGAGGCTGGATTTGGGGTAGGACTTGCAGGGCCCCTATAAATTACCCTTTCCATTTGATTGGCTCTGCCCTTGGCTGGTACCTAGATCTGTAAACCCCATTTGGCAGAAGTCTGTGTGTGTGTGAGAATGTGACTTTCTGGTTTTTGAAACACCCACCTAGGGAACACTTCAAGGCCTTCAGCCATGCCAGGGTAATATGACTTTGGTTTCTGCTTTAACTATTCCTGGAGAGGAGAATTTTATAACTACCTCAAAGGTTCTCATAGCCCCTCAGTCACAGATCCCTCTTCTGGGACAAGATAGGAAAGAAAGCTGCACGTAGGACGGGTGGAGACAGGAGGAATAGGTACCTAGAGCCTGGTGGGTGACAGGGACAGCGAGAGACAGCGCAGTGAGAAAGCAATGCAGTATCTCAGTGTCCCCTGCTTGTGAGGAAAACCTTCAGCTCCCCCTTCCATGCCCCAGTGGAACTGGAGTTTTGCCTCATCCAGGTCCTTCTGGGAGTTTTCTATTGGCAGCTGCTCTTAAGATAAGCCCTGATGACAACCAAGACTTTTCTTCTGACTCCATGGTGACTGGAAGTTGGAATTATTCCCAGGTGACTGTCCATGTTCATGGCCAGGAAGTCCTGTCAGAGGAAACAGTGCCACCAGGAGCAGAGTCCGACTCACCTATTGAACTGCAGGATCTTGTGCAGACCTCCACCGAAGAGTCCCGTGAGGACACTACCCAGAGCCCAGGTCTAGCACCGGAAGAGCAGACCCTGTGCCATGAATTGGAGCTCCAGCCCCCTCAGGAGAGCGGTAGGAAGCCTCGGCAGCAAGCTGAGATTGTTGCATAGTGTTGGGAAAGGGACATCCTTCCTCTACGCAGGAGGCTGGGTAGCTGGTAATGGGAGTAAGTCACAGAATCCAGGTACTGGGAGGAGACACTACCAGCTAACGGCAGCAATAAACATCCAAAACTAGCAGTATTCTTGGTCATTCCACTGGCATCCAGTGGTGTTACAGGTGGTGAGGTTGGGATGACGTCCTTGAATTGCCCTTAGGCTAGTCCTTGATCCCCACCTTTGTGCCAGAGAAGACAGGGATGCCCAGCACTTTGCCAGTGGTAGCAGCGCGTCAGATTTTGCTGATCCCTGCCTCCTTTTCTCCTTAGAGGTTCCAGTGCCCCAGGACCCAGATCTTCCTGAAGAGAGGAGCACTGGAAACCCAGACATGGTTGCCCTTCTTACCGCTCTGTCGCAGGTGCACCCTAGTTCCCTTCTTGCCAAAAAAAGTATCTGAAGAGTCACTAGCATTTGCCATCTGCTAAATAGGTCAAACAGGACACAAATTTCCACTTTCCATTTAAGTTCTAAGTTCCAACATATCTGGAAGGGGAGGAATTGCCTCTGATGAGATTAATTACATTTGTTAAATACTATGTATGATATACATTATATTTTTACACATTTTCTATTTATTTATATTTACTATACAAATATAACCCTCTTTGTCTGCCATAGATTAGAGATACTAACAAAATGGGAGTATTTTGTGTCATTCCAGTGTAACACTTAAGTTGTTAAATGAGGGTTTGTTTTGTTTTTTAAAAATAAACTTGATGGCTATTTGTAAGAAAGACTGTGCTGCAAAAGTGATCTCTGGAGTTATATGTTTGTTGCTTCTTCCAAGAACTACATGTAGTCAAGCTGTGACACTGAGGACGTATTCACCATGGTCAGACCCTGAAACTAAGCCACGTGCCTGCATTGTAGTGTAACTGAAGAAACAAGTCTTGTTTACACTGTATAATTGATAGTGTGATTGGATAGGGTCAGTTAAGGGAAGTTTCCTGGAAAAGACAGTGTTCTGTAGAACTGTAAGTGACATTAAACCAAATTGAGAGTTAAATGCTGGCTGAAGATCTTTCTTGTATGTCTTAAACAATATCCTCAAGAAAAAGAACATAGGCTGGTCTTGAGAAAAAGCAGTGGGGTTGGATGGAACCAGGGAGCCAAAGCAAAGGTAGAAAGTCAGGAGCAAAGCCTGTCCCTAAAAGGGAACCAGGTGTCCCATTTGAGTTCTTTTCTGTCCTGGACACCAGGACAGAATTCTAATCGATTCTAATCGAATCCTTGTGTTGTTTCAGGGATTGGTAACTTTCAAAGATGTAGCCGTATGCTTCTCCCAGGACCAGTGGAGTGATCTGGATCCCACACAGAAAGAGTTCTATGGAGAATATGTCTTGGAAGAAGACTGTGGAATTGTGGTCTCTCTGTGTAAGGAATTTCAAGTGTTTCTAGAGTGTTCTGAGCACAGAGATCTTTTTCCTGTTGGAGGTTTATGGGCATCTTAGACCTTCTATTTTATGGACTACACTTTTCTTATTCCTACCTTACAAATGAGATTAAGGATAGCTGAAGAAGACGGTATTTTTCCACTTGAAGGGAAAAGAAAATGTTTAAAGTGGTTGGATACATCTGATAAGAAAATAGTTATAATGCTATAGCCTTAGTATATTTGAGCTAAGCGTATAATTTTGAAACAGGAAATTAAGTGGGCTTTAATCTACTTAAACATAGGAAAAGAGTAATATTTATAATTGTATAATTATTGTGCTGGAAGTGACAGGTGAGAGCTATGCTGTATTTAAATATGCTTACACTAAAGAATCCAAAGATTGGATCTCCTGATCTGGCTATGTATCTGTTCTTAACTCAGGGGGTTGTTGGTCCAATTATAGTCTCTTGTATTTCCTTCTCTTGAGCAGCATTTCCAATCCCCAGACTAGATGAGATCTCCCACGTTAGAGAGGAAGAACCTTTGGCCCCAGATATCCCAGAACTTCAAGAAACTCAAGAGCCAGAAATCCTGAGTTTTACCTACACAGGTGAGGAATGACAAAAGGAATCTTCCCTCCTAAGCTGGCAGTTCCTCTAGTCACTAGTTCTCCCCCAGAGGCCCCTTTCATCGGCTGTTTTAATATGTCATGTCAGCTAGTACTTCTCTCTCCCTCTGAATACCAGATCTTCCTATCTTTCCCTACCCCCTCACCCTTCCAATCATTCATTTGAGGGATATGTAATGCAAAACAGTGAAAGAAAAAAGTAAAACTATGGACTTACAGCTATACTATTCACTTACTAACCAGTTCACTTAAACTCTTGATCCTTTTCTCCACCTTTGTGAAATGAGTATATTAATATTTGTCCATACTAAGACTTGTGCGTAGCATTAGATAACATGTATGCATTCATGTTAACTAGTTATTTCCTTCTTTCCTACTCTCTACAGTTAGGAAATATGGACTGCTCTCTATACGGTCTTGTCCTTTCAAAACCCCATTTAATGATACCCCATTGTGTAGAAGACATTGTTGCCGCTATAATGTCCCTTTTCTCCTCTAACACCTTCTGCAGGAGACAGGAGTGAAGATGAGGAAGAGAATCTTGAACGAGATTTGAGTTTGGAAGATCTACACAGATCTGTTTTGGGAGATCCAGAAATTCACCAGACTCCAGACTGGGAAATAGTCTTGGAAGATGATCCAGGGCGACTTAATGAAAGAAGATTTGGTACAAATATTTCTCAACTTAATAGTTTCACAAATCATCAGGAAACCATGCCTCTTCATCCCTTGTTAGGGAGACATCATGACTGTACTGTCTGTGGGAAAAGTTTCAGTTGTAACTCTCACCTTGTTAGACACTTGAGAACTCACACAGGAGAAAAACCCTATAAATGTATGGAATGTGGGAAAAGTTATACACGAAGCTCACATCTTGCCAGGCACCAAAAGGTTCACAAAATGGACAGTCCTTATAAATTCCCTGTAAACCAGAAGGATATGGATAAGACCTCCCCTCCAGTCCAGGCTGAGAAAACACATGTTGAGAAACCTTATAGATGTGATGAGTGTGGAAAACACTTCCGCTGGACTTCAGATCTTGTCAGGCATCAGAGGACACATACAGGAGAAAAACCCTTCTTCTGTACAATTTGTGGCAAAAGCTTCAGCCAGAAATCTGTGCTAACAACACACCAAAGAATTCACCTTGGAGGCAAACCCTATTTGTGTGGAGAGTGTGGAGAGGACTTCAGTGACCACAGGCGGTATTTGGCCCACCGGAAGACACATGCAGCTGAGGAGCTTTATGTCTGTAGTGAGTGTGGACGGTGCTTCAACCACAGCGCTGCATTTGCCAAACACCTGAGAGGACATGCCTCAGTGAGGCCCTGCCGGTGCAATGAATGTGGAAAAAGCTTCAGCCGAAGGGACCACCTTGTCAGGCATCAAAGAACACATACTGGTGAGAAACCATTCACGTGCCCTACCTGTGGAAAAAGCTTCAGTAGAGGCTATCACTTAATCAGACACCAGAGAACCCACTCAGAAAAGACCTCCTAGCTAGGTCCCATGTGAGAGATTTGCATTTACTCTTTACCCAGGGTTGGGCCCTCTTGTCAGCCTTGGAAGACCTTTCTTAGGGAGTCTCCCTGGCTTGCTCAGATCTACATAACCTCTTCCTACAACCCTGAGCAGAACCTCTAAATCTTCTTCACCTTGAGATAATTTTGCCCAAAGTATAAACTGAACTGAGCTGCTCCTGCCTCTACCTCACAGGTTTGAAGTAGGAGAATTGGAAGACTTTCAAGAGGTTGTGGTTATTATATTTTCCCCAAAACTAGGCTGTTACATATCCTGAAGACTACTTAACAGCCTCAAGTTTAAAGTGGCCCTTGATAACCCCTTAGGTTTGGTGAGGGATTAGCCTTTAGGGCTCTGTCCTTACAGGGCTTAAATCTTAAAGCACATAGCCCTGAACTCCACACAGGAGATTTGCATATTGATGGCTTTGCCACACATTCACAGGATAACTCTACAAATCTCCTCTGATACACTTCACCACATACTTTCCTTTGATCCTGAGGAGAAAGAGGACAAGTGTCTGATGAGTGAAAACCTCAAGGCTGCTTCATGTGGACTTTATCAGGCTGCTCCCATCCCCATTGGCAGAATGACATCAGGTGCCAGGCACTGCTGGAAAGGATAGTCAGAAGCCTCATGAGTTTTTCTTTACCAGTTAGACTACTCATGCTCACAGCCTTCCAACTATTCTACCAGTCTCTTGGTTTTGTTTCTAGCACCTCTCCAACAAGTGATGTAGCGTTGGGTGCCTAGGGATTCAGTAAGGCATAATTAATCATTATGAGATTATTTGCATTCCCATATGTCTACAAGTCCACTCACCCCACCCTCTTTGTATGGGTTCGTAAGGGGATTTTGGAACAGTGTCATCTTACCAAGGCACTATGATAATTATACAATCATGACTGACTGGGTCACTTGATTTACATGAAGACAACTGAAGAAGATCAGATCAAACCATGGAAAAGTAAGGAAAAGCTATGGCTATTGACTAAGGCCATCAAGGTTATTCTCCTGACACCCAGTCGCCATCATGCCTGCCTCGGTTCTCTGATATCAGGGAAAAATGAATGCCAGCACCCAGGATCCTGAAGAAGACCAGGCTTTCATTATTTGTGTTGTTTGCTTTTTCTTACGTGATTTCATTTTCATGTAATTAAGAACTAAATAGTAGTATCTCATGGCCCAAAGATCTCTGTTGCCTGATTTAAAGTTTCCATGAAGTTGAGGCTAACTCATATGTACTCCACCTGCTCTGACTGTGGGAGTGGCAAGGAGTGGGAAGACCATCCTCCATAAATGGAGTGCAGGGTGTGGGATTAAAGCATGAGAAGGCAGACTGTCTACTATGCCTGGTCACTTCTGCTTTGTTTCTCAGTCCATACTATGTCAGCGTGTACCAGATGGCTGTGGGATGGCCTGACCTTAGTTCTAACAGCTCACCAAGGAAATTTTCATTTTGGTTAGTAATGCTATTCTGACTACCTTCTTTGTTTTTACCACCAGTTGGCCTTTGTCCTGCTGGAAATACACACATGGAATAAATAAAGGTAGCATTGGCAGCCAAGTTCCCTGGTGTCTGGGACTTTCCATTTTAAACATTCACTTTCTAGGCCTTTGGGTTCCTGATAATTCTGAGATCATTCAGACTACACAGAGATCTGGGAGTGCAGAATAGTTTCTGCTGAGGGTAGAGAGGCTGGCATGTATGGCAGTCACAAACAGAATATATGCACCCTGAGGCAAGGTCTAAGCTTGGAGTTTGTAGAAGAAACTGCCCTGACCGACTCTTAGCCAGAAATCCAAGCTCAGTGGCAAAGCTTGTCCTGGGGGAAATGTCAGAGTCAAAAGCTTTTAAATAATTTCTGGAAATTGGTAAAATACTGGTAGTAACAGCAAATTTACTTTTTTCACTGATATATCTACATTATGGTAATAAGGATTTTACATAAGGAAAGTTTGAAACCACAATATTTAATGTCCAGTACCATAATATTTAATGTCCAGTATTATGAAACATCAAATAATTCTTTTACTACTGATCCTCTGCGGAGTTCAGAGGTTTTCTGAGTTCCTAGAGAGACATGCTGTCCCCTAAGTAGACTAGAGCCTGGACAGCAGAGCACACAGCTGAGGCAGGGACATGTCCTGTAGGACTGGATCCCCCTGCTATTCGTAAAGGTTCTCGGAGGGTTTTATAAGCCATGAAATCCTGTTGTTCCTGAACACTGCACTAAAGAAATCTGAGGAAGAAAAGGCAGAATTTAAAGATACTATTTGGAGGAATTAATTGACAGCTTAGGGGAGCACTAGGTGGTGAGAACTGGAGTGCTTCCACAGGTATGAAATGTAAATATTAGTGCATTTGGCCATTATTTTAGGAATAAACCAAGGGATATTCAGCCTCTCTCTAAGGACATTCCTTTCCCTAGGTCCCAAGGTAGATAAATAGGAAAAGATAAAGATTTGTTTTTTGTTTTTTCAAATCCAGAACTTAGAGTGGATTCTAGTAAACACATGACTGGAATATTTGGTAAATAAGTTTAGCACCAAAGTATAGAATCAAAGGCAGCAGGAGAAAAAAGAAATCTGTTGCCCTCTTTAAAGACCGAGCAGTAGAAAGTGAACAAGAACACGCCCCTGAGTCCTGCGAAGCTGGCAGGGAGCGATTGCTCCGATCCTTGCAGGTTAGGTCAGGGCATCAACTGCTGGATCGCCCTTTCAGGAGGAAAATAAGATAATACCCCTCCTGCCCTGCCTCTCTGCCCAGGTTCCCAGAAAAGACAGTGACTCAGATGACAGTTCTCAGGGCCCTGTGATAATTTTGTAGAAATAAAAGTGGACTGAGAAGTAGTAGATGATGACATGCTGTGCAAACAATCTGGTGCTATTCCAAATCATTTTTAAGTTGTTCTATTTGTCATTTCCTTCAGTGGGCCAAAGTATTTCTCCAGCCACAAATAACTCTCCCTGAGAGAAACAGACCTGCAATTTCCTCTAGCAACTTGTATTTCTAGTGATGCTGACTTGATCTTTAATAAAAATAACTCAAAAGTTCAAAGATGGGTGCCCTCCCCATGTTTCTCTCACCTGCATTTTGGCAGGATGCATGGGGCATCCTACATGAGAACATTTCTTTATATGTAGGATGACTGGACTCTTCCCTGGGGAAATCCTGAGAACCAGGGAAGGTCTTGAGCTTTCTCTAGATACCAACTTTTGTTAAGTCATCCTTAATAGCATAAAGAAACGGAATGTTTGCCAGGGCAGCAAAAGTAAGAATGCGCAATCCCTGCTCATATTCTGTGTGTGCTTGTGGGGGAGGTCTCAGATAGAAGGAAGAGGGAATACAGTTTGAGCCCTTAAGAGGGGGTCAATCAGCATAACTAGATGACTCAGACATGTGCACATACAGGGATTCTTCAGAGGAAATTGAGAGCTAAAGAATAAACTGTAGGTCCAGAAACTGCAGCAAAAGGTAGGTGAAGTAAGAAAATTCAACTCTGTACAAGAGTATGAAGAAAAACAAATTTTGTTTAGGTAGAGTATAAATCTTAGCTGACTAATGTTCTGTGAAAAATATGACAATGCATTAAAAAAGGCCATTTGTATCAGAAGATAATTGAAACTAGGTTCTCAGGATTTCCTGAGCTAAGACTATAGTTCTTGCTCTTATCTGTGGTTCCTTCATTAGCTGTACATCTGATGTCCAAGAGTTCCACAGGAAAACAAGTGTGGGGAAATTGAAAGAAAACACCCGAACAACAAAGAATTGATAGTGAGTCAAGAAATAACTAGTTAGTGCAAGTGCAGAAAACTGGATCATCAAACAAAGGAGTAAGATTTCTGCTTCATTCTTGACCTGACCAAACATTTTGAAAGGTTTGCTACTAAAATGTTTACATTGTGGGGGAAATTGTTAAGAGAGCAAAAATAGCATGAAAATTGGGGTAGAGTGATCAGAATGTAGGTGCTTTAGTGTTGATGGATTCTTCAGGACAAAAATTATACTAGTTACCTTCAGTCTAAACATGCACTCTTACATTAAATAAAATGTTACATATGCATTGTACCCTAGCAAGTATGCGTATTATAAAGAACGAAGTAGAATAAACAATATTCTAAAGGGGAAGGAACCGTAGGAAATAAGAATTTAAAACAAAGTGAACAGTAATTCAGAATGTCCAAAAGAAGGCAAAAAATAAGCATAGAATGAGTAAAACAAATTGAATGAGAAACATGCCAGAAAACCCAAATGTATGACTAAAAGAGACTATTAGGGTGGGCTAAAAAGTAAATTACAGCAATAGGCCACCTACCAGAAAATATAATGAGTAAATGAACAGAAAGAATAGACCAGAAAGACAGTTAAAAAAAAAAGCTCCTAAGGGAGTTATTTTAATATTTACAATTTTTTTTACACAGAAAGTATGAGGAAAAAGGCTTTATGTAACTAAAATTTGAACCCATCAGGAGTATATAAATTTCTATGTGCCTATTGAAGTAGCTCAGGTTATCATACAAAGGTTAGTAGCCATCTCCCTAAGTCAGCAGTTGCACGCACCACTTGGACACTAATACAACATAAGATAAAAGGATGGGGACATTGTCCTTTCTTACCACCAGCTCAGTAAAGATGTTATACTGGGAAAAGGACCAGGGAATACTTGCTTTGACCAGTTACTACATGTCAGTCTGCTCAAGGACGATACAAGCAGAGAGAAAAGTAATAATCTTAACACTTTAGCCCCAAACACTAACTGGCAATGAATCTGGACTGAATTTGGCTGAATCCTATGTCCTACCTTACCATTTCAATATAAAGGAATTCCAGAACATACCTCCTCATGGGAAGTACAAGTAGAAAGGTAGGACTGGTGGCTGCAATGGATTCAGATGCAGCCCTGCAAGCCAGCCACAACCACTTCAGTGAGAGTTCGATCCCTGCCCCAGAGGTGACCCACATGTCGCAGCAGACCTCTCCTGTCTCGCCCACTGCTCCCTCAGCAGTGTACTTCAGTGATCTGCCTGTTCTGCTCCCCACTCTGTTTCTGGTAAACCCTCTCACTGCCCCTGCACCTCTGGCCTGTACCCCAGTTCTGTATGCATAAATAAATAAATCTTTAAAAGGGAAAAAGAAAGAAATGACAGGATGTGAGTCCCAGTGCTCAGACTTTGGAGGCCTGGGACACCTCCACTGGCCTTTCTCAGTAGGGAACAGCCACCCAGGCCTGAGACAGCTCACAGCATGACAGTGTCTGAGAGGCCTTGTGTGTAAGCTCCTGTCTTAATCTGGACAGAGACTACAGCTGGGCAAAACAGCACTGTGGTATTCCATACCTGATCACCCAGTGTGACCGCAATTCTCGTCAACAGACTGGCGGAAGAGTAGCGAGTAGGAGCCGGGGGAACAAGTGACAGCAGTGAATCTCACTGCCTCCCCTTCAACTCATATCCTTCACAGGAAAGTATTTTTGCGTATGATCATTTTGTTCTATGTGTAATTCTACTAAAAGCTGGGGTCTCTCAGGTGTACAATGATTTATATTCAAAGGAAAACCAGAATTCTTGAGAGTGAATATATGTTTTTACTACAGATTTCCTTAGAGCAACCAAGTTTTACCACATATACCTGTGGGTTCATAATCATAATATAAGAATGCCTGGTATATAAATGTCCTTTGATGAATGAATGAACAAATACCTGTATTAAGGCACTTATTATATTACTACACTCCAGTTTTTTTTTAAAGCTTCTCCCTTAATTGCCCATAAGCTCCTAAAGCCTCATGAATATACCTCAGGATATATGCTAGTGCCTGCCACAGGGCTAGAGTGTGGTAAGTAGTCCTTGATCGTCTCATCTATGAATACCACAATAAGCTTTTGAAAATGTATGTAGAAATGTCCAAGTTCTATAAATACAGCTAAAGAAATGAAAGTACATATTAAAATTTTAAAAATAAAGTATGCAATGGCAATGTGAAAAGTAGTTATAAAATTCTATATAAGGTAAAGTACAAATGGAAACACTAAATGCACTTTCAGGCTTCGCATCCCACACCCTTACGTCTTATTCACCCTATGGACACCAGATGGCAACATTTTCTCATAATCAATAGTCCTAGCCACTTGTTAATTCATTCAGCAAATAGATGGTGAGAGATTTAGTCAAAGCACTAAAGATTTATAAATGAATGATGCAATGATAAACTTGATATCAAGACGTTTATAAACTTTTGAAAGTAGACACCTATACAAATAATTTTAAAGTACAGTACATGATAATAATAGCTAACATTCTTTAAGGGACAAAAGACCCGAAACAAACACTTCACAAGAAGGGATATCCAAATACACACACACACACAGTGTGATCACTATTAGTCACCAGGAAAATGAAAGTTCAATGAGACACTGATAAAATCCCATACAATGAAAAGACTCAGAAGGCCAAGTGGTTGTGAGACTGTGGAGCAACTTAAAATCTTACACACTGCTGCAGGGAATGTGAACTGCACCACCACTTGGAGAAGAGCGTGGTGTTACCTACAACA